GCAGAAATTCAGAATCATATGATAATTACATGCAGAATTGACCAACTAATATTTTCCATATAGTATTACATTAGTTGTTCTTCTTCTTCACTTAATTATCACTTTCCCCTACTCTGTCTGTACTACCATGTTTAACACAGCAGAAACGCATCTGTGCCATGACCCATGGATGCTACAGTTCATATCTCAAACTGATAAATCAATTGCAAAATCAACCACACTATACCTTTGATACTTATCAAATTCAATATCTTCCTACCTTGTCTGCATTGCAGCACAGTAGTAAAACACTGGTAATTTTATCCATAGATGCAATGTCAGAAAATAAACGAAGAAAGCGTTTTTAGTCGTGAGAAATCTTGCAGTATTTGCTTCCTGCTAATGGAGCTCATCTTCTAATGCAACGTTATCTCTCCCATATCTCTCTTGGCACATTATCAGTAATGGCTGGAAATGCACACACTGCATTCTTTGATGTGGGGGCTGCATCCAAATATGAAGTACCCTGTGTCAATAATGTCGTCTGACGACTACAGACCCTGCAGACATTCAGTCAATGACACAACTTATGAAGCATGTGGGAATTAGAACAATATGAAACTCATCTTGACAAACTGACAGCTACGCCTCACTTAAAGAAAACCCTTGGCTAACGAAGGCAATATCATCAATAGTGGCAAGCGAGCAAGTTGACTGTGATCTGGGCATATTACTTCGCTAGACATTACTGGGTTCTAATTAAGTAATAAAGAAATCCTGTAAATTGATGAGTTAGGCAGTTCAATGCACAATCATTTTCAGCCTCAGAATATAATAGCATACAATTTACATGTACCAAAGCTTTCATATAACTGTACAGTAGCTTAATGTTAATACTGACACCTACCTTAGGAGAATAACCTTCTTGATAACTGATGAAAAATTTTATAATAACATGTATTCTATATAATATTATTTAGAAGCTTAAGATGGTGAGGGTGTACAAAGTCTACTATTAGTGTGATATCAGAGTATTCAAAAACATTTCTTTTGTTGAAGCCATATACAGAGTAATAGACGTTGATGTAGCATATAAAAAGCACCAGCATAAAACAAATCTACAAAATGCTTTTCCATATTAATTGATTCTTACTATCACCACTTAATAAGCAAATCACACGTGAAAGTAACATGAGAAAAATACTTATAAATTAAATTACAAATATAAATATTAATATTATTTTTTCCATCTCAAATAATGTAAATGCTTCGCAGTTATAATTAATGGAGCATTTGAAATCATTTGATAATTTTCCATTCCAAGATTCAGAAATCAGTCTTTACCACAGCATCACATCAGACTAATTAAAAAAAAAAAAAAAACATTACACTTGAATTGTCATTCCTCGTTGACAGTCCAATATACTAAGTTTATGGCAGTGAGCTTGTGCACTGTCATTCATGCAATGATAACTGCCTGACAGCAAAAGCACTTTCGCAGAAAGCTTGTCAAAACCAAGTAAACAGTTTTAATTTTTCATTTTCTCAGACAAATATATTTTGTTCATAATTAATCAAAGGCAGCATACATTATACAGAAGCATGTTAATTGAGCCAATATATTCTTATGAAAATGTAAGGTATTTAGTTATTAATAAACAAGATCTTTGGCCAAGCATATCTTAGGAATACATAAACACTCATTCATGATCTTGGATGATATCCCATTAGCCAGAATTCTACCTCTATAACACAGCAATATGCCAATGATATACCAATCAATATAACCGTCAATTTTTTTCACACATTTTGCTATACAGAGATGGACATATCCTAAATAGATTGAATTAAGACTCAACAGCCAAAGACCATAGTCCATCTTTGAGGACTAATTAATCCATTAATTGACCTTGATTTGTGGTTGAGACCAGCACTGTATACATAAGTACATGTACATGTGATTCTACATTCTATATGGCCATTCTACCTGGGAGATCTACATTGTGGTATACCATGACAGCATATTTAATTCTACATCCTCACATGAATGTATCTTCACAATACATACATATATTTATGCTATGTTCCATGCAGTCAATATATCTCTTAATGAAATCACTTTTAAAGTGAAAAGACACATACATGGTCAGGATCGACCTTCTTACACCCATTTTGCTAAAAATCTCTCTTCACATTTGATAAATTTTGTTCAATTCTGAAACATTTACAAAAGGTTTCAACCTAGATTGCTATCAGTTGAGATGTGCCCCAAATCTGATTGCAATCTGTCAAGGTTGACACCTTCATTATGCTGTTAAACGTGGTGTGATATTGAATGAAATATACATGCAAGAGTCAGTGCACTGAACTTACATGACTTCGTATAAACCATGTATGTCTTTCACTTTTATGCACTGAGCTTTTAAGGAGATTTTTTAAGATAAAAACTAATGGTTTTAAGTTGACAACAAGCCTTAAACCTATCATCTCCATCAAATTATCAGATGGGCTTAAGGACATACAGTACGATCAATAAGAAAATGAGTCCTTCCACAGATGGACAGACAGACAGACAGACAGACCCCACAGTGCATTGTACTTGAAATCACTGGTCAATAAGAGATCTCCTGTTTACAGTTAAGAATCCATCCAATTTCAAATCTCCAACAGTAATATTAATCTAAAAAAAGCCCCAGTTCATACTTACAGATCAAGAACCTCTCACCTGAGGGAGCTAGCCAGCCTGTACCCAGCCTCTTGTTTACAAACAGACATCAACAATATTCAGGTCCACATTGCAAACAGTGAGCCACTGTTTTGAGAAATAACTTGCCTGCTTGCTACATAAACCTCCAAATGTGTACTCTAAATGTTTTGCATTTCAGGTGCCTTTCCTTTTCTTTATTGCTGGTTACATACTAAGGTTGTGTACTCTAAATGTGTTGTATTTCAAGTGGTTCTTCTTTTCTTTATGGTGTGTAACGGAGTATGGAGATTAGATGTTGGTGTACAAAGCCACAGTGTAGCTGCATTAACTAGAATATTTCACTGACTCTCTGTACTCAGGGTTTGTTATAATATGCCCTGTTCAATCATGTAAAGTCATCATTTGAAAAAGTTTCAAATATTTATACCACCCTTCAAAAAATTTCACCTATTTAATTAGACACTAGAAAATAACTTTCTTATCAAAATTTTGGCAGCAAAGCATAATTTTATCAGAAAAAAATTAAAATTTCAACTCACCAAAAATAAAAAGGGTTGTATTAAAAATAAGATACGTATGATGCAAACTATCAAAAAGACCAAATTCTAGGTCCAAGAAGTCCATACAATCTAGTCTGTTTATATATTATAAAATTTCATTACACGGAAATAGTAATGTCATTCATCCATACATATCTCCATTAGTATATTAACAGGTAGAACTGCATATTCTCTCTGTATTTTACATGGAGTGAATTACTCCCAAATACTTCCTTGTAATAACAAAAAGACACCAGCAAAATACAGCTTCAGAATTACATACCTCATTTCATTACCAGTTTCCCATTACACTTCAATCATGTTCATTTCACTGCTAGTTCAACATCGAACAGAGGACCACATACTAAGGGTAAATGAAGCACAATAATTCCTTCCTTGATACCCTCTAGTCCATTCAACACTCACTCATCACAACAGAACTATCACTACAGTAAACGGCAAATATCTCAAATATGACCAGAGCAAACAATTGGGTAATATTTTGAAATGCTGTAATATTTACCTCTCATGTTATCCCAATGGTACATGCAGTTTGGGGGAGTGGTTTGCAGCTCTCCAATGCTATTCTACACTAGTACAGCAGAGTATCATTCAGATAGACATCTCTTCAGAGTGTTCTACTCCCCATAACAATTAAATGATCTTGAAACTGATTAAAACCACAATGGTGTCATTATCTCTTCAGGTTCACCCTACTAAAGTGAGCGGGAGTCCAGTGACAAATTAATCAGCACTTGACTGTATTAAAGTCCATTGTCCTATATTAACTCCCTGAAAGTGTAGCCAGCTACGTACTATTACTTATCAATTTGAACTACAAAGTGCTTCGGAGAATAATCATACACCACATATGGCGACCAGGTAGAGAAACTATAATCATGTAAATTAGTCCCACACGATAAAGACATTAACATATTATAGGCAACAGATTGTATTAATTCATACACTTTATGTCAATTGTTAAATTGGTCAACATTCCTGATGGGATAATAAGATTTTCACAGGGTGCAGCAGCTCTAATTTTTTACTATAAAATTAACTTACCTGGAAAATCATACAACACCTGTTTAATATGCACTTTTGTAAAATAACTTATACCAAGGCTAACTCTGACATACAAATACTGCTACTAGCCTAAAATAATTAATTTCATTGAAAGAATTCTAAAGAGATTTCACAATATTTATCAAATTATCATTATGACCAGACTTTTGACAAGGTCAAAACACTAGGTATATCTGGCTTAAAAACTGCCATCATCATATGTAATATATTTTCATTGGGACATGTCACTCCTTAAACTTAGGATTCAATAAAGAAGGCCACCAGCATGTCCCAAAAATATTATTTTGGAAAATACATAAAAAGTTTTAATATTAAAAAAAAAAAAAAAAACGTTACACTGTGCTGTGGTCCATTCCCATACCCTGCCCCCTTATACCTGTCAACAGCCACCCAATACAATGGATTAATTATTAAGAAAGAGATCATTGTACAACCAATATTTTAAAGGTTTTAATTTTAGTTGGATCTTTAGCACATGAGGAATGAAAGTCAGGTGTTCAGTCTGAAGTGAGTTTTTTTTCCAGAAGAAAGTGACATGGCAGGCATCTAAAGAACATGGTGGTTTTGTAGTTATACCAAATATAGCTGCTGATTGTTAAACTAAATTGAAATTTTAAGGGAAATATACAGCTGCAATGTAAGATATAAGGTAGCAGTCAGTTGAACCTAAAACTTTCTTTTTAGTCAGTTGATCATTTATTGATATTATTTGAGCATTATTCTACACTCAGTGACAAAAATCACATTAAATCAGTATGAGCAACACAGACAAAAACAGTTATCAAAAATTATTTATAGTTATTTAATAACAATTGTTTTGTATGCAAAATCAACATTATGGACTTCATTATATTATCCAACACCACACACTAAGAACATAATACATGGTTAAGAGAAACATAACTTCAAACTCCAATTTGAATAATAAATATTTGCCAGCAAAACTTGCATTATTATAAAATTCACTTATCCCTTGTCAATGAATGTAAACAGAAAAAGTAAATTAATGTTGAGGTTTTCTGCTGAACAAAAAGTTATATGTAATGCAAACATATTTTTTTAAAACCAGCACAGAATATACAGTTGACAGGGCAAATAACAGATGTCAAAAGTTAATTTGGAATGAAAACTTCATATATTGCACACTGTACACTTTCACTTCAGAGAAAAATTATCTGAAATTCCATATAGAATTAATTTAACACTAATGTAAGTAGGAAACCATTTCAACGAAACACATTCTAGGTTTTCATCCGTCAACCCTGACCCAGTTACCATCCTTTTCCTTTTTGTAGAACCTAGGTTTTCCATCAATGAATACTGTTTTCATGGGGTCTGGGTGGTTTTTGATTTGCTCCAAAGTTTTCCTGACATCGGCTTCAAAGCCTGAAGGTTCCTGGGCTGGAGATGTGGAGAGATGCTAAAAAAATCATTAAAAACTGAGAAATAACAGAACAAAATTTATTGATTTTTGTCTTATCCTGTCCAATTCAAATATTTTCAAGAATCAGGGGCTGTAAACATACCATACATGATACAGTATTTTATCCATGTCATCACTGGCATGTGACTTGACACTAACAAATGTCATTAACAAAGGCAGTGAGATATCACTCATGGAACCTTTAACCCTTTTTATATAAAGACATTATAGCAGTACATACTGTTTTGTTTAGATGAACAGCAATTTTCTGGATGAGAAGGTTAAATCTAAACAGCACTGTAATTATAAGATTTGTACATTTGCAAACAATGTATAATTTATATGTAAAAATTACACAGTAAATCTTCATTATTACTGCAATGCCAAAAAAGAAATCTGAATGATAAAAAATTATTTCTTTTATAAAAAAGATGATTTTTGTGAAATTAAAAAAGAAACTCACCATCCTGTAGTACTCATCTGGTAGCAGCAGTAAGCGGTCAATGTAGGGAAAAGGTCCATAAGAAAATGGACCAATTTTTAAAAGTTTTCTTTCCATGTCATACATGTTCATCATCTGAAACATTTGTAAATCTTTTATATGTGATTTAGTATTCTTTCTTCCATCTTACTATCATCCCATTGCATGCAATGCATAATAGTTCATCTGAGTATTTGAACTTGACATAAAAAGATACAGCCACATCAAAATTTTTAAACAATTTATAATTTATCTACAAATAATTTATATTATATATACTATGGGACAGATTTTTATTAGAATTACAATGACTCAAATCCATAATGACACCAAAAACCAATTTAAAAAAGTATGATAATTTTCTTATTCACAGAATGCAAAAGGTATAATTTCTACCTCTTCCATCCCTGTAAAATGGGTACCAGCCCTCAGGGGAATATCAGGACCTTTGTCAGGAAACGACGCTTTGAAAGTCTCTCCAGTTTTCACGTTGACAGCTGGAAATTAAATATAAAATTTAAGTTGTTTCTTATTTTTCATCACAAAATATTGAAACCAAGTAAAGAAATAACTTTTCTTGGATTTTCAAATCAGCACAGGCTCCCGTTTCACAAAGAATCTTAAATCCTTAGTCGACTAGCTCGGGCTGGGTGACCTAGCTAGGTCGACTACGGTAAAGTGCCATGAATTTCGAACGGCTCTTGAATTTCGAACGATCTTAAAATCGGCCGTCTGGAGTTTTTTCTGGACCATGAATTTCGGCCAGTCAGCAATTTTGCGCGATCTTGATTTCGTGAATTTCGTACACCTTAAAATAGGCCACCGGGCTATTCTCGCGCTTGTAAAGATCTAACAGTCGGCAATGTTGCCCTAGCNACATTACCGTACGTTGCAGTCGACTAGGAGTGTTTCACAAAGATTCTAACGTCTTAGCTTAGCGTGCTTAGCATAGTCGACGCGCATGAGAAACTCTTCAAGAAAAGGAGGTGTAAAATTTCTTAAGTTTCACAAGACATGACGTTTCATGGCCTCTTTCGACCGGGAACGATCGTTTATCAACAATAAAAATCAGCCAAAACACAAACAAAGTTTATTTTTGAACTTTATTGATTAGTTTAACTTCGATACAACTTCAAAGTAACAGTTAAACATTAGCTTGTCGTGGAACACTGCTGACGGACGTCTAGTGACCAAAAACATAAACAAACACGCGATCGGCTGGGTGAAGTGGCATTTTATTTTTTATTTCAATATTCCATAAATGTCAGTGCTATTCAAGGATATTATAACACAATATCTTGAAGGAGGTATGTTCTTTCCAAATTTTTGTTGTGTATGCTCTAATTTACTGAGTTTCAGTTGAGCTTGCAGACTTAAGTCTCCTCCCGAGGAGGCTAGACATCGTCGACTAGCAGCTAAGAAAAAAACGACGTAAGAATCTTTGTGAAACACTCCTAGTTGACTGCAGCGTAGTCGACCTAGCTAGGTCACCCAGCCCGAGCTAGTCGACTACGGATTTAAGTTTTTGACCGCTAGACGTCCGTCAGCAGTGTTCCATGACAAGCTAATGTTTAACTGTTACTTTGAAGTCGACTGCAGCGTAGTCGACCTAGCTAGGTCACCCAGCCCGAGCTAGCCGACTACGGATTTAAGATTCTTTGTGAAACGGGGGCCAGTTTATTTTTCAAGTTGATTTGGGTTGTCTCAGCTTATGATGCTCATTCTGATTTTTTAAAAATTTGTACAAGCTCCAGGAACACATACCCACTCCATAGAACACTGGCCAGTGAATTCCACCTCTAACTTCATCATTAAGATCTGCAATCCAAATCATTCAATGAGAAGATATAGTCCATTTTAGTCAATTAAACAGGCATTTGCAGCTAACGGCCACATTTAACAATTGTTAGAGTCTGAATGTTATAATGTATACAAGCACTGAGTCCTCTAACTAAGAAAATGAGATAAAAATCATTCTATTGTTACATGTAATTGATAAATGTGATTAAATTTGATATAAATTGACAGTAAATATTTTGAGGACAGAATAAAAAAAGTTTATTTTCACCAGCTTATAAACCTATCCATACTGTCATATCCTACTTTGAGGGTTTTACAAAACGGAAATAAGAGGAAAACAGCATATCACCATTGTACAGAATCAGATGTACAATTATAATCTAACAGAAAACATGCTCCTGCAGATGCTCCCCCCTACCTGTTATGCAAGCAGTCATCAGATGGATATCTTCTGGTTGTTTGTGAAGTGCATCTAAAAATCAAAATTTCAAGATAGTTATCTGATGATTTAAAAGGGAGTTAATGGAATAAAACATCTAGAAACCAAGATGCCATACACGCTAATACTCAGTTGCATTTGCAATTGAATTTCTTCAATTTAACTCCATGTCTAAAGCTTTGAGATTCAACTACATTAGATTTACAAAAAACTTAAAAAAAATTTTTTTAAATCATAAATTCAGTTACATTAAAACTTGATCACCAATGAAAGCAAATAACTCTTATCAAGTGATTAATTACTATGCTGGTTAGCATTACCAAGCAAACTTAATGACAGCTCTGCCGAGGTATTCCGGTCATCAATAAAGCCACCATACATGTGTACCTCAATCCTGAAATAACCCCGGTGGTATCAGATTTATCCGAATTCTACACAGAACTATTCTGACATCTTATACATTTATTGCATTCATTATTTGGACAGTTTGCAAACCCAACTCTCACCATGTTACAAAATTTTTCTACATTTTAATTTCCATCAAAAGGGACCTTCATGCCTTGGGAAGCACCACTTAATTGGACATAAGAGTCATTGCCTTAATCTAAGTGAGAATTTGAAAGATGGTACAAATATGGTAAAGACATCATTTGTTTCTCAAACATTTATCACTATTTTACTGTACCTTCCACTCTTCTTTCCTTCTGAGAGGTTTGTGACCAACTTGACCATGTCTCTGACAGCCCTCTCAGTATCACAGCCATCAAAGTGTCCAAGAGACGTGGCTCCAGAACCTGGAACCATGGATATTATGCAAAATTATCCATTTCTTATATTATTTCATTTCAATATTATCCATATATTAATTGATATAAGGATCATCACCAATATCTAATCAGTTTCAAGTTAACCCATTTTCATGCAAATTTTGTCATTATCAGTCCATAACATATGCAGCACAATTCACAAAATTTCCCATTCCTTAATATTTCCTTAATAGAAGTCCGGCAAAAATATTTATACCATAACAGTCAACTATTCTCAAAATAAAGTACCACTAACATGTATACTCCTGTAGCAATATATCTTTAAATTACAAAAATATAATTTACCTTTAAATGGAGAAAATCAAATACAGTTACAATTTATTACTTCACTTTGTCCCAAGGAGTAAAAGTTACAAAATATAAACAAGTGAAAGAAATTGTAGTAAGCTTATCAAATGGAAAACAAACCTGTGTGCCTTATAATAACAATGTGGCATGTAGTGGCATCTTCAGAACCCAGGACAGATATCACATCTGAAACATAATGGAGCATGACATAGAAGTTTGATAGAACATATTCATCTAATTAAATATATTTGTCAGAAGCTGAATTAAAGCCTAGAGTTTTATTAAGGTGAAAAAATTTCTGATCAAGTGAGATTCACAATAAAATGAAATCTGCATCAACTCAAACATCATCACCATCATCATGTCAATATATCACAAACTGCATACCTCTGCCAAGATAAATAATTAACTTGCTAGACTATACATATATAATCATTAACTGATTTAAGGATCTCCACCAAAATCTAATCACTTTCAAGTTAACCCATTTTTGACCTATCATGAAAATTTCTTCACTATCAGTCCATAACATTTTGCATCATGTTGCTAACAGACAGATAAACTAACATCACCATCAAAAACATCCACCCCTTGAGGTCATCCTGATCCTGTGCACTCACCATCCTCTGGTGCAGTTCCTGCATACTCTCTCTGTAGCACATACAACAAGCCCTGGGCTCCGACCTTGCTTACTGGTTGACTTCTTTTGGAAACTACCTCATCCTTGAACAATCAAAAACTTCATAATTCTGGCAGAATGAGCAAGATTTCATGGTGGCAAAAGACTTTGAGAACCCCCCCCCCTCCAAATAAGATAACTTGAAAGAAAAACTACACAGAGAGCTCCTTATAGAAGAAACCATACTCATGACATTGTAACTGTCACAATGGACTAAAAGCATCAGCTCATTCAATTTGCTGCAATAGCAACAGAGAATAAATATTAATCTCACCCCCAGAATAAAAACCATCACTAATTCATGTTAAATGGCTATTAGGAGATCCAGCACTAAAAGACGAAAGGGTAAGCGTAGCCACATTTATATTTACTTTGAATGGCAGGTTTTCGAGTCAAAACCAAATTTTATGAAAGTGTTGAGGGTGGGATTTAACTATAACGCTGTAATGCCCTTACATTGGACTTTTTGTTTATGAAATATTACAAAAGATGCTCATTTACATTGTAAGGAGAGTCGATAAAATAAGTATGCACTGGTAGAACACAATTATTTACAAATTCAGCCATCCTTTTATTTGAAAAACTCTGCAATGTCAGCTGTAGTCTAGAAATAGTAAGAAATGTTTTCCTTTCACAGAACATATTTTTCAGTCAATAATCTATGAATCTTAATACGTCTTATGAAACCAACAGGTTTTTATACATTGATGGATCATATTCAATAAAACTGTTACAATTTACAATATCAGGGAAATAAAATATTTAGAAATATCTGAATCTGATCTTTAGAAGATCCTTATAAAATAAAAAAAAAAAAAACTCGGAAACATTAATGTTTCAAATTTACAAATTCAGGTCCAGAATTCTTTACATTAAAACTTGAACTGGCATGTCATACAAATACAAAATATTTTCCAAGTATGTATAATTTTCTTTCTAAGTTCTTATTTAAGCTATACTGAATCTACAGGAATGCCACATTTGGAATGAATAGGATACGCTGCACTGTTTTCCATTGCTTATATGAGATTCCCAGCACACATATTAGAGTAATCACCATTGTGCTATGATTTCTCTTCTTGGAGAGGATGAATATTAATAGACAGAATGTCACTGGTCCTCAGCAGTCCATTTGGATGAGTTCCAGTGGGTGTTTCCAGATCTGTCACCTGTAGTAGTAATCCATCCAAATCACTGCTGCCAAAGATAGCGTTCACAATTGTTTTCTCAAACATAGTCACTGTGATAGGTCGTCTAGCCAGTGCGTTCATGGCTCTTAGGTAACGCTCACGTAGGTACGTTCTTAGTTCTTGCACTTTTTCCAGTTCTTCACTCATCTGTTGGAGTCAAAATTGGTTTCATAAATGTAGACATTTGTTTTCAACTCACTGTTCCCAATATTCAATAACAATATGTACAATAGTACATAATGAAGGAATGAGTAGCATACAGAATGTATAGCACCAATATCTTTTTCAATTTATATTAATATAAATTAATTAGGAATTCTTTATTTATCTGCACAGCAATAAAATTATTATTCAAATAAACGAAATGTTCTTTGCTATTTTTATTTAAGTCATAGACTCATAGGAGACCAATTTCACAATAAAAATAATTTTGACAAAACAATAATTAACATTAAATCGCCTACAGGGATAACAATTCTTCATAACAGATTAAAAATCCACCATAAATACACTGTAAACAACTCATAGAAATATAATAAATTCCATTTTAACACCAGCACATGTGACTGCCTTGATGAAAAATTCATTTTATGACACTTTTCCTGCCACAAGGAACAGTTGTTATCTCTTAAATATTAATTGTTTAAAACTTCATTTGCACTGAAATAAATTCAATGTTCAATGATGAGCAATGAATTTTGATGGGGACCAAAAATAAATCTATAAATAATATGGAAAACATGCATTAATGCATTGTTTTTAAAAAGATTAGTTCGCATTGAGGGAAAAGTGCCAAAAAAGTGATTCAAATCCCTTTCTAAGGCACCAACCAGAGTGATTTAAAGATACACAACAGTTGGTTTTTAGAAGTACTGGCATATTCCTTGTAACAACCACTGCTACCTGCCATACTAGGTATCTCTGTTCTCTCCAGTACTCATGATCTTTTCAATTTAGTTATCAATACTATTGGAAATAATGTGCTTATTCCTGAAATTGAAACCGATTAATTTTTTTCTTTTTCCGATTGGGAAAAATGCTTTGCACAAAAGATTACGGTGGCTTCCAAAATAACAATAACAAAACATTGTTTCAACTAAAGAACTATACCAACTACAGAAACAGTACTCACCTTAAAATGATTGTATTTATTAAAGAAATCTCGTACACAAGATGGAACCCGTTTTAATGCTCCTCCTTTGATTAACAATGGCATGAGACCAACACGGCGACTGTTTCTCAAAATGGTTTCCAACCTAAAGTGAAAGTGATAAAAAAAGATTAAGTACGGCCCAATATAATTTAATTGCTATGCACGAAATTACCATCACATTGTAGATACTAAGCAATCTTTTTTACAGGCAAGTTAAATGTAGCCTTCAGGAATGAGGAAAACGAAAAAAGGTGTCGCGGTTTCATATGTTCAACGCGACAACACTCCCATTTTGTCTTCATGGCTTCGGGATCAAGTAAACAAACGATTTCAGACACTGCTTTTAGATTTACACTTACGTTTAAACTTGTAGTGTGAAATTTAAATTATAGAGAAACATCGTTACTAAAAAATCAACATACTGCCATAGATATAATAAGTCAAGCTGCAGCGGTAACAGATGTAATTCTTACCACGAATGCCCGAGTAGCACGAGCCTCCTTACTATTTTCTTTCCCACGCGACTTCCGTTTACGCACTGCGCGTGCGCATTGAGAATGCCCTTGTGAGAAACCCCGCACTTTTCACTCTTCCTTTTCCGGTGGACACTCCATTTGGCATTGCCTACTTGTAAGTCCTCTCAGAGTTTACCCAAATAGACGAGTGCTTTGACTGCTTTGGAAATATCCCATTAAGTGGACAACAAATAAGAAAACTTTGCCCTTCGTGACAGTTTGTTTTAGTTGTAAAATTAACCCTAACTTTTTATGATAACCAGTATCTTGACAGCCGAGTTCGGCCACATGTTAGAAAAGCCTTGAAGCTAAGCGGCACACGTGAAAAATGGCAACATTAAAAACACAAGTATTGCTAGAGATGTGTCTGTGGCACATTTCAAATTGTAGTCCTCCAGTTCATTTGGTTTTTTATATATTTTTTGGTTAAACTCTACGTGTCAATTATGGCATTACAACTGTTTTTATGATGACATTTGTGAATGGGATAATAGCCCTAGCGTTAAGTGATCTAAAGGGAATGGTTTACTAGTTAAAGAGAAAAACTAAATTTTAGGGCATAGGCGTGGTTAGCCTGGGACATCTCTCATTTGAGAAGTGATCTCCCCCACCACCCATGCCCAGTAATATGTGGATTGTCTTTTTGCTTTTCAACACCTGTCCATACAACTACATAAAATATATTAGTAGTTTAACTATATTACTTTAAGGTTTTTTAACATAGGGTGTAATTACTTTCAGGTTGATCACCGTAACTCACCGATCAACCCACGATGTCTGGAGGTCTAGACGTACTCGCTTTGAAAGAAGACGATGTCACCAAGTTTTTAGCCAGTGGTGCTCATCTTGGCTCCACCAATGTGGACTTCCAGATGGAGCAGTATGTTTATAAACGCAAACCTGATGGTGAGTGTGTTTGTGTGTGTTGAAGTTCACTCATTATTAGCCAATGATTTATAATAATTTTTTTTTTTTTTTTTTTTTTTTGTTGGATTTCAACCTGGTTAGATATGTTGCAGGTTTTAGATATATTTAGGAAAATCTTTTTGCTTTAGAGCTGCTGTCACATGGACCTTACTGCAAATACAGAATTGTAAATAAATTCCCTTTAAAAATAGAAAAAGCAAGTAATACTTAGCAGAAAGGTTTCTCAACAAATTCACATTTGTTATAGTTTTACAAGCACTGGATAATAAGTGAGTGTTTGATCTGTACTTAGAAGGATAGAAAAACAAAATAGGGGTTTAAAAAGTTTATTTCTGACACTGCTGTCCTTTTGAATCCTGCACATGTACATGAAACTTGTGGATTTCTTAACAATTTTGAATTTTCTCACTTAATTCATTTGTGCTGATCTAAATCATTTTGTCAGGCGTTCACATCATCAATATCAAGAAGACCTGGGAGAAGATCCTGCTTGCTGCCCGTGCCATCGCAGCCATTGAGAACCCAGCAGAAGTCTGCGTCATCTCGGCCAGACCCTACGGCCAGAGAGCAGTGCTCAAGTTTGCCTCGGCCACGGGCTCCACCCCTGTAGCTGGCAGGTTTACCCCTGGAACATTCACTAACCAAATCCAGGTAATGAAACACAGTTGTGCAATTGGTCTTTTGAGTTATTGCTGTGAAACAGGATGAGGAAACAGTTTTTCTTTACTTATAAGGCCAAACAACATGAGTCAAATGCATTGGGGTCTCCATTTGTGGATCAAAGTCTTGTGAATGTACTCAACCTTCATGTTCCACTCTTGTTGTTTAGTATCTAGATACACAATAACCCTTGATTCAAACAATTTCTGTTAAGTTGACTGCATTTGAAAAAAAAACGTTAAAATTAATCAATTATTTATTTTGACATTTAAAATATCTCATGATGAATGTATTTTTATATTTAAGGCTGCATTCCGTGAGCCGCGTCTCCTTGTTGTGACAGACCCACGTACTGACCATCAGCCAGTCACTGAGGCCTCCTATGTGAACATCCCTGTCATTGCCTTCTGTAACACTGACTCCCCCTTGAGATATGTGGATATTGCCATCCCATGCAACAACAAGGTACATCTGAAGTTTGAATGAGTCTACAGAATTTTGGTTTTGTGATGTTTATGATTTAACTGCTTATTACATGAATATTATTTGGGGTCTTTTTTTTTCGAAACTTGAAATTTCGTTAAATGATTTCATTGCAACTCCTCACATCTGTCATCTAATTGCATTTGTGATAACTGAAAGAAAGTGTAAGAGATGATTTAGAATAGTTTAGAATAGTGAAGATAAATATTGTAATTGTGATGTGAAAATCATATTTTAAAGTCAGAAATCTTTCATTTGATGAAAAAAAAAATGTAATATTTCCAGGGTCCTCACTCTATTGGTCTGATGTGGTGGTTGCTGGCACGTGAAGTCCTGCGTCTGCGTGGCACAATCAGCCGTGATGTCCCCTGGGATGTCATGGTGGATCTCTACTTCTACAGGGACCCAGAAGAGGTAATGACTCCCAACACTTTGGAAAAGTTTTTTGGTACTTCTCACATATTGTTTGATTTTCGTTTAAATCTCTCAGTTTTATTTGTGTTGTTTTAAAAATTACAAATATCTGTTGTATCTGTTCTGATAACAGTTAAACACGAAGAGAGCTGTTGCATTTGTTAATATTATGAATTGTGTAACATTATGTAATTGATTGCCTTGATGGAGGAATTAAGCTGAGATAATAGATTAGATTAAACATTGCTGGAGATTTCCCTCCTTTGTGTGGTAAAGGGTTTAAAAAGTTTTTGGCCTTTATATAGAATTTTAGAAAAGGGCAAAAACAGGAAGAAGGGGGCAGGTCTTAGGTTCTTAGCATCCTCTGGTCAAACTCCTGTAACATACCATCTTTTTTTCCTCTAGGCTGAGAAAGAAGAGCAGGCTGCCCGTGAAGCTGCCGCCACAGCTGCTGCTGCTGCCCTGCCCTCTACTGGGCCAGAGTACAGCCAGGAACAGTGGACTGATGCCCCCATCCCTGGGGGAGCCCCCGCTGAGGTGGCTGATGTAAGTCTAACATAACTTAATTGTATTGTTGGATGGTGCATTTATGATATGATAAGTCATCTGAAGAACGAATTTTGCAGCAACACATTCAATAGAGATTTCCAATATTTATCACATTTTATCATTAATTGCTCAATAATAACTATTCTGACATTAATATTCTCCACATTTAATGTTTTCTTAGTGGTCCACTGAAGGTGTTCCTGCAGCCCCAGCAGCCATGTCAGGTGGTTATGGTGGAACAACAGAGGACTGGTCTGCCACTAATGATGATTGGTCTGCACCCACTCAGTCAGCAGCAGGTACTGCCCCAGCCCCTGATAACCAGTGGGGAGGGGCTAACACCACTGAGAACTGGGGTTAACATGGTCTAGTGGACAGTATGGGGGAACGCTGTGAAGATTATTAACTGTCGAGATTTGGAAAGACTTTAAAGAAGTTCCTTGTTACTGTAAGGACTATAGAAAAAATTTAAGTGGACAGAGAAATAAAGAGAACAATGAAATGAGTTGTTTGGTGTTATTGATGCTATGCCTGGACTTTATAGTTAAAGGATGGAAAATATTCTTCGGTGCACTACCGTGGAATGGTCCTTATGTGAAGGCAGTGTATAAAAAAAAAAAAAAAAGCGGCGACTTCAGTCAAATATTTGAACTTTGTGCAACCGACTGGTAGCCGCATTACCTTTTTTTGATAAATTTAAAACTAAACAATAAACATCAAGTTATGGATTCCCTGTTACTCGTTTGGTCGTTTTAAATTTGAATGTGAGAGCGTCTCCCAACATGTTTTGCATGCAGTCCCTCTCCAGTTAATATCTGCAAGCTTGTATTATCATTTACGTGGCTTGTAATTATTATGTAATTATTTGCATTTTTATAAAGAAGTACTAAATGAAATTTGCTTAAAATCGATTGTGACAGGTTTTCGAAGAAGCTTCCATGCACAGAAAGTGTCATCAGAAGAAATAACTCAATGTTGTAGTTGGGATTTCTTTCGTCAACTAAAGCTTGTACATTGATAACAACAACAAATTTCAGTTTACATGAAACCAGTGATGAGTAGGTAGAAAAAATTGAATGCAACTCCCGTCCACTTAAAAAAAAAAAAAAAAGCGTGGATCTTGCAGCTTGCGCATTGATAATGGCAGAAGTAATTTCTGTTCACATGAAGGCAGTGATGGGGAGGGGGTATTTAGAAGAAAAAATTGAGTTCGGCTCCCTTCCCCTTCCAAAAAAACCAACAGGGATCTTGCAGTGTCCAATAAGGCGTATATGAGAGTAACTCTAAGACGGCTATTTACTGACAATGTTAATTTTATTACTAATTCTGTTGTTATTGTTATTATGGAATATTACACAGTATACGTCTCATAGTAATGTTCAATATATGCACTTTCAAATAAAATTGTTTCATATGACGTTTATGAACTCTTACAATATGAAGATTAAATTATATGTACATAGATATTTACAAAGCATTTTGACATGTATTTGCTAAAATTGCACGTCTTTTTGTCCGATATTGCTTTAGTGAACAGAATTACCTGCAACAGTATATATACATGTGTATATACAATAACATAACATAAAGCCAAATTCTCAAAGAAGTTCTAATAAACCAGGAAACTTGCCAATACACACCTCTTGTGTGAGATAACCTTGGACTCACACAGAATGGGTCCAAGTTTAAACTAGACATGCAGATTTGTTGATGACTGATTCATGTACGTCTTTAACAGAGGGGGAAATTCTTCTTTGTAAAACTGATAGGTCCGTAAAGTGGAAGGATTCGCCTGTGGTAGTCGGTAGTTTTCAGGGGAACAAGATGGTCAATCAGATCAATATTACGGTCAGTCAGTTAACAGTTAGATCAATATTACGAAACACATCATTCATCGGGAGTAATTGATAATGCAAGAGGAAGGGAAATCGAACTTGGGACATCATGCCTCAAGCCTGGCATTGCTTTTAGTTTTTCAGCAAGTCCGTTTTGCAATGACTTACTCAACATGTTATTTTGAGCAACATACAATCTTTCAAGAAGAGGGAGATCTGTGCTATTCAGCGACTCGACTAGATGAGAGATACTTTCCCCTATGGAATTATAAGAAATGTCTAAATACCACAGTTCCTTCCATTGTTTAAGATTATCTGATAGAGCTTTCATTGCTGGTGCCATGTCACCAAGTAATCCAATGTCACAGTCACGTATATTTAAACGTGTCATGTTCATTGATTGGAGTTTACGGAAAAGATCTGTCATAACAGTTGGAACGTCAATGTTGGAAACAAAACCCATGTGTACAGAATTACCAGAAATGTCAAGATCATGCAACCTAGGTACATGATGCAAATTGTCTGTCAGTGACTTCAGTCCTACGGGTGTTATATCAGTACTCCTAAGTCCAAGTCGTTCTAAGTTGGGCAAATGCTTCAGCTGTGAGGCCAGGTCACAAAGGGTGTCAATTAAAATATGGTGTTGACTGTAATCTTGATGGAAAGGTACTGTAACTATGAATGGGTCTGTTTTATTTCTTACATTTTCCTTTATTTTAGGTTTGGACCTCCTACCTACTGCCGGACACGTTAAGCACTCAGTCATACTTGAAATTTCCAGATTTAGACAAATAAGGTTGACCATTCTCTTCGTAGATAACAGTTGGAACAAATCAACCAAATTCCAAACGAGAAGGCAACCGAGGATACTTAACTCCTCCAAAGGTGGAAATGGAGGTTCAAGGGACAGTAAAAATTCGAAGCCTTCTAACACTTCAAAACGGTCTATGGGACTACCTAACAAGAACTTTGAGTCTAGATCAGCACATTGATAATTACGACAACTTTCTTCATTAAACTCAGCAATGATCTCCAGCCTCTTCAAAGAGGGGAAGATGGTGTGGTACTGTAATTTGTGAACATTGAGATCTACTTCGCCAGTAAAGCTGCACTCTGTAACCTGATGAGCGAATTGCAATATACAATTTGCTATCGGGGGATGCATGTTACGGATCTCTTCACTTTCGAGATGGTTCAGCCATTGCATATGTTCACGGGCTACAACACGATTGTTTGTCAACATTTCAGTTATTAGATGAATAAAAGTAGGATTAAGGAATCCAAAATATGCAGATTTAAAATCTGCATCTTTGTCAGCCAGGCTATGCAAATGAGAAAAGATCACTGCTGCCACTTCTGAAGACAGTCCACAAACAAATTGTATGATATTTATCATATCTTCGAACCTTGCCCAGCAGTTAACATGGCTTAAGAATGTCTTAATTGACTCTGACTGAGAGACTTCCTTACAACTTTCAACCATGTATTTTGCAGCAAAATATTCTTGCACAGTTTTGTGGATAAATGAGTAGCTTGATATGTGAGCCTTTCTCCTAATGCTACTAAGTTTTGTACGAGACATGATACCTGTGTGAAAAATCTGATTCCCTAAATCCTTAATGTTTGAATTAGTCTCATCAAAGGTAAGGTTACCGGAAAGCAGTCCATCTAAAGCCATTTTACCGATAATATTTGCCTTTTCTGTTAGATAACATTCTGCAGTTTCTTGATTTTCTTGACGGGCTACATATCTGTCCGACAGTAGGGTTACAAGTTCTTGATAAAGTGCCGTGAGGGAATTGGGCATTTCTTCTGCAGTTTTTATATCCCATAAAATGCATACAAAGAGTAAAAGTAATGGGGTGGGTGATAAGGATAGATGGAATTCCTCCACATACTCCAAAACAGACCAAAGACCTGGATCTCTACCTGTGAAGTAGTTTCTGATGAATTTATTCATTTGATACTGGGACATGTCTTTTACTTCTACATGCACGTCAGTGGGCCTATGTTTGGACAACTCATGTGCTTTCCATGGGCGTGAAGTGACAATTACTGTTACATTAGCAAATGTTTCCCCTTTTATCAGTTTGGATATGTTATTCTGGGGGTTGGCACTATCTATGTTATATTCATCATAACCATCTAATATGATAAGGATTCTATCAGCATTAGAATGCATGTACATTTGCAGAGCTTCATCTGAAATTTCAAGGGATGGGTCAATCAGCTGATCTTTGATTGATTCAAGCAGAGTCTGGTCTTTGTCAAGAAACCTTAACCTGATAAGAAACAGAAGAGATATATTTTCAAGATAATGTAAAGGACTCTCTTCTGTTTTGGGGCATTTTGTTCTGCTATAGAGACATATTTCTGATGAACTTCTATTTGAACTCTGAATCTTAAACCTTGCCCAATCAACTGTAATTTTTGCAGCAATTGTTGATTTGCCACACCCAGCTTTACCTCTGACAATGATTCTTTTCCGTCTTATTTCTGGTTTGAAGATATCCTGGTAAGACTCGAGTGATTCCTTTTTGACGCCACCACCTTCCTTTTGTTCTTGGATGAGAGACAGATCTACAAACACATCATCAATGTTCATGGTGTCTGTATCATCCCAGGGGATCCGCTGCACACAGCTCATCTCACGGTTGTATCTTTCTGCCAGGTGGTTTTGAAGCAATGTTAGCTGTTTTTCTGGAAGAATAAACAAAGTCAAATTGTAATAAGTGCGTGGGTGTGCATATGTGTTACTGAGTATATAGACATTTGAATTAAGCTCTGGGAGTTCCTGATTAAATATGCAAAAGAAAAACAGAAACATTCTGTAAATAATTAGCATAAAAAACATTTCAGCAGCTCCCTTTTACTGCACAAATGAAACACGAAGAACAATAGGATAGATCTACATTTTTTTGGTGTGTATTTAATGCCCATGTGTACAACTACACATGGAGGTTTGTATATGTATGTACATTTATGTGTCATTGAACCTACTAGTAATAACNTCTGGCTTAAAAACTGCCATCATCATATGTAATATATTTTCATTGGGACATGTCACTCCTTAAACTTAGGATTCAATAAAGAAGGCCACCAGCATGTCCCAAAAATATTATTTTGGAAAATACATAAAAAGTTTTAATATTAAAAAAAAAAAAAAAACGTTACACTGTGCTGTGGTCCATTCCCATACCCTGCCCCCTTATACCTGTCAACAGCCACCCAATACAATGGATTAATTATTAAGAAAGAGATCATTGTACAACCAATATTTTAAAGGTTTTAAATTTAGTTGGATCTTTAGCACATGAGGAATGAAAGTCAGGTGTTCAGTCTGAAGTGAGTTTTTTTTCCAGAAGAAAGTGACATGGCAGGCATCTAAAGAACATGGTGGTTTTGTAGTTATACCAAATATAGCTGCTGATTGTTAAACTAAATTGAAATTTTAAGGGAAATATACAGCTGCAATGTAAGATATAAGGTAGCAGTCAGTTGAACCTAAAACTTTCTTTTTAGTCAGTTGATCATTTATTGATATTATTTGAGCATTATTCTACACTCAGTGACAAAAATCACATTAAATCAGTATGAGCAACACAGACAAAAACAGTTATCAAAAATTATTTATAGTTATTTTAATAACAATTGTTTTGTATGCAAA